TAGATAGATGGTCGCGTAAACTAACAATTTTCTGCTCTCGTTTATGGAAAAAGTTTGGAAACGCGTTCGCCTGATTTATAAGATTACCTTCCCTTTGTAAAACTACCGCTTTGAACGGAACTGCTTGTGAATCTGGTAAAATACAGGGCGTTTCTAAATTAAACGATTGAACTTTGCCAATATGTTACGTAGAAGGTAACGTTGCATTATATTCGAAGCTGCTATTAAAAACTGTAGCTTAAAGAATATCAATTTTTCATTACAAAATTTACCTCGTCCTTTCCGGAGCTCTGTAAATTTTGTATTAAAAAGAAAGAGTACTCCTCCATTTAATTATTTTGTCGGTAGAAGGTAGAACTGAAATTTCAATCAGCTAAAATCTTGCGGAAATTCGAAACAAACGAAAGCATCGCTATTTGTCGTAACTTTCAACCCGTTCGTAGGGTAGAAAGCCGAGGGCCGTAAAAATCAGTGGAATATTCAAATCGCCGTCACGGTGGTAGCTAAACTCGAACGTGGTCACGTGAGCATGCTCGGAAATTGCCTCGTTATCCTCGACGTCGTCGTTATTTACGGGTCTTAACGAGCGAAAGCTTACGCTTTCTCCTCTCGTCAGAACGGTACGAGACTCGGTTACGAGCCACCCTTTCTTCGCACTCGTCGCGCATTTTCTTTCTACGCTTTACCCCAGCTAGCACTTAAAATGCGACGGAACGGGCTTTTAACCGATCAAAACTATATTTCCATTCTGGATCGATAGGCGAGAACACCGGATGCAAATGTACGTACGGTAACACGGACCAAGATATTCCGTCCTATAAAACGGTGAATAGCTTTGGCGTCTTGATGAATACTGAGGGAATCCGACGACGCTTGAATTTTTTTTTTATAGCTACTCAAATGTTTTAATCAATGAAATATTGTCGAATTTTGAAAGAATCGTATTAAAAACTGCAAGTACATCTTATATAAAGTATATCCTAAAAAATAAATAGTATTACTTTTTCAAATAAAAACTTTGAGACTCGTGGCTTCGATCGTTGGCCCGAGGATGGAGGAAAGATGTACTGGCTTTATTTACCCTCATTCAATAAGATGTAGCAGTGTTCAGGAAGTGGGGATGCACGAGACTTGAGAAAAAAGATGTGCGCAGATGCAGGCCTGGTCAACTTACGAAACTTTCCCCGGATGTGGCTGCAAAACCTTGGAGGAGTTTCACGACGAAGACCAGAACACGGCGTTCTCTAAACAAGGTTCGAACGTGGATGATATTCGCTGCTCGAGTTATGGAATCGAGTTAAAGCAATTTATAGCGGGGTAGTGACCCTGCCACGTAGTCGAGGAAGCCGGCTACGATATAAACGCATGGCCTGGTTTTTCTCCGGCTAGGACGACTGGTGTATCGTTACAGAAAATATTAATTAAAGAAGCCTCTGAAAAATAGCATTTCCAGCAAATCATCTGGGAACGACCCGTTTTATTACGAATTTTCTTATCTGCTTTATGACTCTTAGTTAATGAAATGTGTCATTAGGAACAACAGCCTCTGGCAACCATTTGCCACAAATGCATAATAAAACGCGTTAATTGGTACAGTGGAAACAGTTATGTGTAGAATACACTGTAATTGCAATTATACAGAATGGAATCGTTTCATTTTTCAATTTGCACTTTCCATTCGTTACCTCTAGTAATTAGTATTTTGATAGCAGCACATTTCATGAAGTTTATGATTCTCGCAATTTTATGTTCTTTATAAAACATACACTTGTTCTAATAATTTCCTATTCGTTTCTCTCTCTAAGACAACGGTCGTTATAATATAAAGAAAATGCTGAAAGTTGCAGAGATTTCTATTGAAAATCGTCCTGCGGTATGTATTCTCCACAATGAAGGCAATTTCATCGGAAATATTGCAAGTGGACTAAAGATATTGAAGAGCAGTGTGTGGAATATTATAAAAGAAAAAGAAACCACTCGCGGAATAATGAATGGGAGTCCGTAAGAAGTAAACGTTCTTTATAACAGGAAGCCAGGAACATTACAATAATTAGTTAGCGTAAAAGAAAATTAATGGTGCCAGAAATTAGCTGTGAACTTAATAAGAAAGGAAACAGAAGTGTGCCAGTTTTAAGGAACAGTGAAATAGCTTTTAAACGAAGCTTTATTTTTGAAGATAAAACAGTTGCGAGAAAATCGTATTTACTTGCAGCAAATAAATGAAAAAATTACAAACCTTCGCACAACCATAAAGTTCAGAATATTTTCTTTATACGATACGGAAGAAATTTGAAAAAATTCCTCGACCTGCAAGCCACGGAAGCTCAGCTTTCAAAGCAATCAATCGATTCCCGTCACAGTTAATTAGATCCTCTCGAACCTGTGCAATCGAAGGTAACGCGGTTCCTCCTCTCGCGGACAAATAGATCGAATTTTCCACTGACACAGGAGCGATCGTAACTTATGAAGCGACCGGACGAGGGAAAAAAGGGCAACAAAGGGAAGAAGGAGAGATTGGTCGTTCCTTGTTTGTCCTCCAAGGAAACGCCGTCAATTAAGCAGGTGTATCCGGAGGGGTAGTTATCGGGAGGGAAATTTAAGAGATAGACTAAGTCGCCAGGACAACGCCGGTTAATTTACATTTCATTAGTTTAATGCTAATGCCTGCCTCCTTTACAGAGAACGTATGGACTTTTGCCAAGGTACGGATTTTTCTGCAAGAAATGCTAAGAGATTTTTCCGAAATAAATGTTTCCCCACGATATCGGTAATTTATGTGGTACGATTATACTGTTATATAATTAGTTAACAACCTTGTAGTGAAATGGGTTCACAGGAACAGATGCACAAAATCATTTTCATAAATTCTGTACTTCTTTTTCGTTTCATATACGTAAATCTACTGCATTTTACCTCTTATATCTACTATTCAAATTTTCTTTCACGCAGTAATTAATTAATTATTAATATCTTCGTCGTATCATGAAAGCATAATTAATACATACTAGTGCATAATGTAAAATGAAATGTAATGCAAGTGCTTAATAATAGAAGACTTGCAAACACCTGTTGAATACATTTCATTTATGCATGATTCGCTATTTAAATATTAAATCAGAAATGTATGTACCTACTTATGTATGCTATGCTTAAATAATTATTACGTTAACGTGCTTATACAGTAAAGCATCTCTATGTTTCATTTTAATGTACAGAATATTACATATAAAATAATAATTACAATCTCGGGGTTTTTGAATTTTTTAAAAATTTGACGTCGCACAATATCATATTCGATATTTTCAACGATACGGAATGTAAATTTATTTACAAGGTAAAAGCGAGTTTGCTTTTAGACTTCGCTACTATAGCAAAACTCTTTGAAGATCAATAGGGAGAATCAAATTACGCACTTACGAGGCTAATGCATTGTGTCCTTATAGATAGAAACTTCATAAAAATCTTCTTTCGTGAAGTAAAAATTTTGTGATAAAGTAATTATAAAACTATAATGAACTATGTTGTTCAATTACTATTATCAATTTAAAATAACAATAAATCAAATTGCATCGTTATGATTGCAGCCTTGAAAATTATAATAAATTTATTCAAATAAATGCTTTTTCTAAGATTAGAAATGTTGCATAGAGGAAAGAGTGTGGTTTTGAATAATGTACATAAATTTAAATTTAAATTTACTTTGGAAATATTTTGGAATATTAGCATGACGTACATATGTATAAAAACACCATATTACCTTCGTTGCTCCTCTGATCATAGATGAATGTTGAAATTATATTTGTTCACTAATTCAACTGTTATCTTTTACAGAAATCACGAAACGCTGCGTAAAACTTCCTAAACACTCTTACATTGACTCCACGTATGGATTTGTGCACCGAGGCAAGGATCTCTTTCAAATTCACAAGTGGCTCCCTCTCACTGCGAATATTTAATTGGCGCCAATATTTAACTTGCATTAATTAATCAAACGTTTGTAATTTCTTTTTAGCCGATTACAAAATTGCATATTCAAAGGTAAATTTAATTCCATAATGAAGGAAAGTTTATTACAAGGTACTTTCAAAAAGTTCCATGATTTATTAACTAATTTCATTTCGTTTGAACGTTTCAAAACGAAAAAGTAAGAAGCGATAGAGAAAGAAATAACGTTTCTCCGACGAAGTATAAGTTTTACAATACGGACAGTTCGATTCAAATGGTAAATGGTCAAAATCGAGTATCATAGACCGAGATTTATTTCTGACCCGGTGCATCCGCTCGTCCATCCAGAATTCGATACGTCAACCGTAGAGTCGAGGACGTTCCTTAACAAAAATAAAAGGAATAGTAAAATATGAACGTTATTGGAAACACGATTTGGTGGAAATAATGGAGCGCACGAAATGTACGAGCTCTATCTTCCATCTTTTCCCTTTGCTCTTTCTTGTTACATGGAAGATTTATTCGTGAATTTGATTGATTTCTGTGTCATTTTTATTTTTCACCTGTTAATCAGAAAAAACTAATATAAATCCTATGAAGATGAAGCGTTCTCTTGACTCAAATTTATTTTATTCATTGACAAATTGAGTCATCGGTGATGAACGCACTTGGCATTCGTAGTGTTCAATTTACCTGTTAGGACGAATCGATGGAAATCTAACTATCACGTGAAATGGAGAAAATTGCTAGGAAAGGGAATGGAATCCAAAGGATTGGCGTCGAAGAACGGCGCAATCGGTATCCCAGTAAGTCAAATGCCAGGCAATTTCGAGAAATCGCGGCTTCGTTCCCGAATCGATGAGTGCTTTCCTTCTTCACCTGCATTCGGTTCCTTAGATAAGAGCAGTCAGCAATGCGTCAATAGAGACGAGACGTTCCTTCGAGACGTTTCTAAAGCAATCTGCATCGATCCTGACGCTACCTTTATACGGTTACCCAAGTATGTGCCTGGTTAAATCTAAGCTTGCTAGCTTTTAGTATTCAATTTAACATCTCATCGAGTCCAAGGTAAACTTCTTCAGAAAAATAGAAATCTTCTGTACCCCTGTAAGGATTTAACACTATGAATGTTGGTAAAAGGATAATCTGGTGGAGTGTAAATTTAAGAGCATCGTATCTAACAAATACGAATCTCTAGTCGCTTGTTACAGCAATCGTATCGCATCCACAGCCATTCACAAGTGCTCGTAACACCAACGATAAGCCGGGGATCGTTATCCGCTTGATATAGCTTCCGGAAACGTATCGACACCGTTTCGACACACGGAAACACGAGTGATCAATGACAGCTACTAAGGGAGGTTTAACTTTCCAACGAGAGAACACGAGAAATTTTCGAATTTTTTGAATCTAGTTGACTCTTTCATTATTCTAATATTTTTTTGCAAATAAAAATACCGCTGCATTAGGGATAATTATTTACCAACCCTTGTAGTTTGATACACTACGGTCATCAAGCGTTCATTGGGGACATGTCCCTCATACCGCTGAACGCTCGACAGTAATAGTAGAAGTAATTTACTTTTTTAGTGGATCGCTAATTGCTGAGAAAAATGTAGGTAATATAGGTACTGTCAATCTTCATAACGTTTCTGTTTCAAATAACAGAATTTTACAAGTTTTTAACGAGTTTCAGTAACGATTTAGATCAATTAATTGTTGTAATTTGATATCGGGTATTTATAATATGGAAGAGTTGATTTAATTAATAGCATTTGCTATATAACTAGGATAGTCTGTACATCAAACTAACGCATAACATGTTATCTGCATTATTAGTTAAGTTTATTAAGCAATTCCTTCAAAACGGCCACTAAATTACACTTCACTAATAACGTTTACAGCTTAACGACAGTCGATGCATTACATAATATCGTTGTACCTTAATGAGCTATCGCTGGAACGTTGTTGTTAATTTGCTGTTCATGTAATATTCGGACGAGCGTGCGTTTAAATCGGGTCCGCGTAATTACATGAAGTCATGCAATCTGGGATACGCAAGCTGCTTCGCAGGATTATTTCCTTGGAAACCGTGTTCTGCCATTCTCCGATCGCTAAGCAGCAAAATGAAGAACGAGCCAAAACTATAAGTCGTTTCAAAATAAATATACCCCGTTAAAATTGCTAAAATTCTAATGAAAAACATTCAAATCATCGACACGTAGGATGTCCCCTCAGGATTTTCAGTTAGTTACCCCTCTGTTAGTAATTAGAATAGATCCAAGTCGTTAAAGGAATCACTGAAAGTATACTTAGGAGACCCGATGTACATGGGTGCATCTTTTTTGAGATAACCTGTAGATTTAAAGGATCCAAGAGCTCTCGAAGCCGGTTAAACTCGTCCTAGATAAGCGAGCCTCGTTGTAACTGTCGAAACAAGAAACACAATACGAAGGAAATAAGCGAAAGAAATCTATGAACGTCCGTAGCAGTATGCTGCAACTATTAAGCGTTAAATTATTCTAGCGTCTTTCGTCTTAGATATGTACAACCAGGTACAGTGCTTATTATCTTCTTCCTCTTCGTTCATTCTTTTCATTCTGCTTTGAGATTATTTTTAGCGAGTCGAAAGCAACTGTTCTCGCAACTTCTCCATAATCAAAAGAACGATACCTTTTAGATCAGAAGGAAAATTGGCTATTTTCTACCACTGTCTTCTCTAATACCTAGCAAATATCGTCCTCTATCGATGCACCATCTCGAGCACTATTATCGCTTATCTGGGAAAGTCATCACATACGTAAAACGTGTTCCAGTATCCAATTCCGGTACCAATAATAGCACTCGTAATCGTCGATTCGGGGCCAATCGATTTTCAAGAAGACAAGACACCATCTCCGTTGCGATCTTCCAGACCCACCCTTTTATCCCTTTCTTCCCACAGTCCGCAATTTTATTCCAGTAACAACCGGGAGGGCCAGGCATTCGTTTGTTGACCACCGACGAGGAAACGGACCAAAGAGTCCCTACTTATTTTTAGAAGCCTCGGGCTGCTTCTCGAAATCACCAACCTCCAATTCGCCCACGACATCGACGAGTGGGTGTCGATGTAAGCATCCTGCCGAAGACAAAGTGGTGGTGAAAAGGTTCGCAAAAGATTAGATGGTGGGATGAAACGACGGAGAAAAATATTTCTATGAAAAACTGCAAAAAACGAAGAGAACCGTCGTATGATTGGAAATGTAGGAAAGGATTGAAAACTATAAACTCCTCCACCAAATAACCGGTATGCACGTATCACCAAAAATTCCGTATTTTCGAAATTCCATAAACCCACTTGCAGCCGTACCATCATCCAAGCATTGCACTTAAACACTCTCGACGTAATACCATTAAATCAGCTGGAAAGTAGCTTTACGGCGACAAGAAACATACACATTCCGCTCATCACTCGGCAGCCGTAAAACGAAGAAATAAATGGATTCCCAAAGATGATCGTTCGGAAACAGGTTTCGTTCTAGCGATCCCGAAATCGTGCCCGTCGTTATCCGCAATCCGATAATTTCAGAGAGGAATGCAGCCCGCTGCTTCATCCTCATTTCTGCCGATGTGCTGTCCCGTTATATATACCTTTGCCTTCTACCGTCAGATGCACGCACGTATTCAACTCAGACAGTGGAAAGCTGGTGTCGGACGCACAAGAAATCCTTCCAGCCAGCTTCTGCACTTGCCGCACTTTTGGCGCCGACACTAATTGCCGTACCTGCTGTATACGGACAGCCGTCTCGTAAAAGCTTAGCCAGTTGATCGTTCGGCCTTGCCGGAGTAAAATACTCTCGAGATATACCCACCCTCCGTGCAACGGTTCACCGAAGACTGTCGTTCGCCTGTTTCGAGAGTGTTTCATGGTGAAGTGCTCGTACCGACGATGCTACGCTCCAACGGACGATAATTTTTCTCGATTCCTTCGTCGAAATTATTTTTCGTCGACGCTGCGTGGTTTTTGTGTCAGACTGCCGAGGAGACGACTTAATTAATGGAGTTTCGGTGCTAAATCGAGGTGAACGGTGCACGAATGAACCCAGTTTGAAATACAGTTAAAGTCAATGGTCTCTCGAGTGTCGCGTCGGAGTGAAAATAAAACAGCGACGACGTCCGGTTATTTCGCATGAGAAAAACCTCGAATAGTCCGCGAGTTTGTCCCAGTGATGACTCGTCGAACGACCAAACGAAGGCGAGATATCAGCCACGGGAAGCTGAAGAGTGGACCAGTCGGTCGAGAATCGATCGGTGATTGAAGTGACGAAACGAGATACGTTGACTAGACTGGTTCCGCTCGTTTATTTCTACCGCAGGTGAATTTACGTAAAGATCAATGTCGGCCACCATTCGCCCCGTTCTCGTACTGTCGCTACTGATGCTGTCGTTATCGGCGGAAGCCGAGGAAATGATGGATCCCTTTGTTCTGATACGACAGACGCTAAAATATTGGCTGAAGATCTACAAGATATACCACGAAGAGGTGGCTCTCGGTTACTGCTGGGCCGAGTATTTTCTGCTGTTCGAAAAGAATATGAAGAATGTGTCGCGCTCTGTATCCCAGGAATCTTCCAATTCAGAGTTTGCCAGCCCAACCCTTTTATCTCTTCGAAAGAACGACGTTCCAAGGGATGAATTTAAAGAAAGTCGAACAGAAGATTACTGGATGCTCGGTGGATCGATGGGCTCGTCTCGTAAATTTTTATCTCCGAAAATGGGTCAAGGTTCTTCGGGTGCTTCTCGAAAGGTTCCATTTTTGTTCCAATTTTTTCATCCGGACCGAGTGGAATCGTTCGACGGTAGTTTGCTTTCCGTCGGAGAAACGGTAGATTCCGATCCGAGATTTGAAGACGATGCGATTAAGGAGCTGGAAGGTAACAAGGATAAAGGCGATTTTCCTCGCGAGAGGAAGCTTAACTCGGTGAATCTGAAATTGCAAAGAGTAGAACAACGGTTGAGTAGCTTCGAGGAGAATCAGCGCGGAAATTTACGCGGTAAACGTGACGTAAATGATCAGATAAGAGGCTTCGTTTGGCTTCCATTGAGGATCAGGCGGCTGGCTTCTTCGCGCGCTTCTTCCTCGGATGAAATTTCGAAGCAGGTTGTTTGGAAAACTGGTATCGAGTCACGTTCGTCAAATTCCAGAAATCTCATTGAAACACTCGATAAGAAATACCGATTACGGAACAATAAAGCGGCAATATTTGCTACGAATATTCGTCCAATGAACACTCGATCAAAGATAAAAGCATCGTTCGTAATACCTGGAGGAATCGTTAATGTCCCCGGGCAATTTATCACCATCAATCCTCGAGCGTTACCGAGGAATCGATCACCCGACGAGGAAAAGAAACAGGGAAGCAATTGTGGAGACGAGAACAGCTCTAAACAATTACCGAACGTGAGCGATAATCGGTATCGGAGGAGCCAACAGGATTTTCTCGTGGTGGAGTCAAACGTAGGTCGAAACGCGACCATTCCTGTGGGAACACCCTTCTTACCTCCCATCAACTATCCGCAATTTATGGGGGACGACAGCTGGCCGAGAGGAACAAGCACGAATTCGAGATCAACTCGATCCTTCTGGGCGAAGGATCGAGGTCGACGACCTCCGGACAACCGTGCCGTGCCACGTGGAATTGCTAAAACCTTCGGCACGTTTTTTCGTATCCGTGAAACGTTTATGGGTTTTCTGAGAACCCTTGGATTCTTTGTGCAAGTAGGCAGGGAACTGATAGATTATGTCGAGTCCAATACCGCACTGGCCTGCACCAAGGACTACTTATGGGGCAAAGCTGTTCAGTGGATTGATTCTTGAATTAAGTGTTTGAGATTAGGTACCATTAGTGAAGTTGAAGTTGAAGTTTCAAGTTAAAGCATTCAAGAGCATATTCAAGGGCATATTGAGATGAGACTGAAGTGTGAATTGAGAGCAACAGTGTACTCTTTGTAATACCGATCTTCTTGGGGGACTTGAAATGAACAGTTGTTTAATATTTCATATAGGAAATGAAGAATTGATCTGTGCCAAGTTCAAATTTTATACAATTTATTTCTAATTTTAATAAAAGATTTATTTTTTATCATTAAAAATCACTTTTCGCGAATGAAAATAAAAATAGAACTTATACATCCTCTTCATCTCCTAATTGCTTGATTATATTGAACTTATATTGCCAATCAATTGATTCTTATAACAGTCCACGTGTTAAGCGAAATCTCCGATAGAATTCTCATAAAGAAGGTAAAGTTGATCGTAAAAACGTCTATAAAACAGGGTGGAAACTTTGTTACCGTCGAAAAATGTTCTCCTACCAAAACAGACCCCTGTTAATGAGCGTCAATTAGAGAAGCTCCCAATATAGGCGGCCGTGATTTATAAGTAGCTCGCACCGGAAGTGCAGTGAAGGTGCCGTAAAAGCATCCAATAATCGTTAATCCTTCGATTCGTTAATCCTGGCTAAGATCGATCGATCGGTCGATCGATCAGCTAATATCGGACGTCTTGGAAGAGGAATCGTTCGACCGTTTGCCATGACAGGGCTCGGTAAATGAGTCGCTGATAACGCGGGCTGCCATGGACGGTTCGGGGTTAGAATTAAGAGGGGCAATTGATTCCCCAGAAACAGGTGTTCGTTGTAGTCGATAGTGAGCATCGCGAATGAATTTTTGATGCCACCTGTTGCTGCATCCAACTCTATCTTTCCTTCTGTTTCTCTCTGCTACCCTTTCAAGCCGCAGTGCTTCTCGAGTTACTATCAGGGAGTAACGACGATTGGCTGGAAAATGAAGCAACGTCGACAGAAATGGTAATAGTTATTTGTTTATTTATAAATAAGGATAAATGTATAAAACAACAATGATTTATTTTAATAAAGTATTCTAGACACCCCGCAAATCAGGATTCTCGATGAAGCATTCAGCCAAGAGCATCCATCGAGTACCAATGGTTTACGGATAACAAGAATCAACAGCCCTCGAACGATCGTCGTTGCACGAATAATTATCTCAAGACAAAGGTTCTCCATTTCGATGGGAGAAAGATAGGGAAGAAAAAAGAACAGTCCGAGAGGTGGTCGTTTTTATGCAATTATCCAAGAGGTAAATAAATACTCGATATTAATCGTATTCCTTTGGTTCGTTAAACTCATCGACGATGCACCGGTATTCGTTTCATCAAGCCTTGAATAGCGGAGAGGATGGACGGATGCTTGTGAAAGGATTGAAAAGTCCTGAATGGTCTCGAGAAAGATCAAACACTGAGGGGTCGAGGCATCAAAGGGACAAGGAGGTGGATGAAAGGCGAAATGATAAGGGCAAGGAAATAGGAACGATCATTTATGTAGAACTCGCGTGAAACAACCCCTTTGCTTTTTTTTTTTTTACTCTCGAAAGACTTGTTGACATTGTCTCGTGCATAGAAGGAGGCGAAGCGACACGTTGATTAAACGCAGTGAGTGCTCTGTATGAGCAAACTGCAACGAGGAACGCGTTTATTTCGACGGTAGCCCTCCTCGTTTGTCCTCGTATTCAGCCCTGATCTTACACAGATTTTCGTTTACACGACCGCGTTTATTTAGAACGACGGTACACGTCGCGCTGATGAATTTCCAGAACCTTGGTGAGATTCTTTTTAGTGAGATTCTGTGTGAACAATCGCCAGCAATTAGCGGGTGTTAGATAATTAAGGGGTTAATCGACCTTTACTTCTGGAAAATAGTTTGAATTTTCGCTTGCTAATTTTTTTTATCAATTAGGGGAAATATCATCAATATTCGATGAAATTTTATAAATTTATTTATTACTTGTTCCTATTTCCTGTAGAGGAATAGGGAACGGAAGTTAGCTTAGGGGTAGCAAGAGTCATCATTCACTTCCACTGATCCGCACTCGCATTCGCAGTCGCTGGTACATTCAATCCACCCCAGATACAGAAAGAAAAGAACCGCGTAAATATGTATGGAGAACGCGTAAGAGGGTCGCTCTATGACCCTGCATTCAGAGAGCAATTCATTATTAAGAACCTCTTAAAGACTGTCTTAAAGCGGTCCAACATACTCCCTCCCAGTAAGTTAGGCTATAGAAACAAAAACGAAAGAGACGCCGACGCTTTGGTGTCTTCTCAAGGAACCACACTTATTTCCGGTTCCCTTTCAAGCCTCTCTGTCCCCGGTTTTCAGGTATCCCATTCACAACTCGAATTCCTGTCGGTACCGCGAAGAGCAGCCTTTTAAATATGTAATTCTTAATCACGCGGCTGGCATAGAACGTCGAATGAAAAAAAATCACCTTCTCACCCCCCTTTTTTATACCTGTGTCAACCGTGCGCTTTTATTCGCGAATCTATATCACGTTCTTTCATGTATTGTGTACCTAACTCTTGTCGAACGAATGAATAGTCTTCCGACGAGCTTGTGGATTTTTTCGAGGATCGGAATAATTAGTCCTGCTCTCGCTCTCCTGAAAGGAGCGTTTAAGTAGGACAAGGGAATTGCGGTTGGAAATGATAGGTCTATATTTGTAAGAAGATTAATTATAATTTATGATCATGAGAGTTGATGCAATTTTCAATCCAGAAGAAATATTCCACTTGATAGAAGAAATCCTAACTTCAGGACATAAATTCTAAAAATTTGCGAGTCAGAAACAATGACTCTCTTGAGACACGAGCCGAAGTGGATGATACTTGGTGGCGACGGTCGCATGCGTTGGAAATTCATTTTTATAAAGGCACATGGAGCGAGAAGACAACGATGAAGTGTGCATTACATGGGAATAAATTAATATATTACAATTCGATATAGTTGCCTGGAAACTTATTTCATCAGTACAATATGCTATTTTTCACAAAGCGAACAGAAGCTTAATTTTCATGTTTCATAAAGAAAAAAAAATTTTTTTCTCGTAATCGAAACACAAAACATCCATGTAATTCATGCTTGCATGGTTCCTAGTCTGGTCTATTTTGACGTATATTGAAAAAATAAAAAATTGACGGTAACTCAAAGCATGCCATATGCGAACATGAGTGAATGGAAATTATTTGCATTGTTTTCATCGTACAGAATGAATTCCATACAAAAAAGTGCCTTCAACATTTTCACCTATCATTTCAAGAAAAAATTATCAACAGATTGAAATGTATTATACTTGGGTTAATTAAAGAAGAAAGCAAGATAAAATATATCTTTCCCTGTTGAAATAAATTTTTCTCTCTCATTATAATAAAATCCATCCACAACGTAGTTCGTGATAAACGAAGAGAAAGAAAGAAATAAAACTGAATCGATTGAAGGTATCTGGATTAACTGTTCGATGAGCTCCGGAATTTAATAGCGGCAGCTATCGCGACGGTGAACGAAAGAAAAAGATCAAAAGCCGGAGCGACGGATATGAGAATCTCTCGATGAAGAATGGCGGAAAATAATATGGTTATCGAGAATTCCATAGATCTGGAACATCCATGAGCACGACACGAGCGTTAAGGTTCTGCTCGTTGAAAGGTGGAGGGCCTTGCACGAGGAACGTGTCTGAGAACAAAAGGGGGGTGTTTCTCGGCAAATAGGGTGACGAGTAGACGACAAAGCGTAATACGCCGGGCAAAATCGAGAGAGAACCTTACACGATGGAGCTTGCTGATACGGTTAATACCATGCGACACAGAGGAATGCGATTTTCCTCGAGACGAGAAGCCTGGGAAACAGCTATCTCAAAGATGACGAGGGCGTAAGAGGCGAGGACGAATGATAACTCGATAGAATGAACGCGTACAAGTGAGCGACGTGCCTCGTGAAATAATTCGATTACCATTTGATCTCCATAATTTACTGCTATCTGTTATTTTCATTCACCAACCCCCTCTGATTTATCTAATGGATTCATAGTTCAGCGAACGCTGCCACGTATTCGAGATAGTTTCATTTCTTTCTGTAATAAATTCCATTCGATTCAATGTATCGAGGGCGCAACGAAATAACGAGATAACACCATAAAGAATATAATAGCAGTATTTACATGAGATTGTTATGCCATTCTATCGAAATGGCCACCTGTTGTGGGTGACATGCGCCGAATCGGGCTCGACGACTATGCTCTACCTGTTCGTTCTCGTCAAACAAACCGTTTGCATAGTGTTAATTAACCGTTTCACCGTTCGCCACCCGTTCTCACAATCATCTAAATCGTTCGCAATGGAAATACGATTACCCTTGAAAAAGTCCCAGCCTTTCTGGCGAATTATTTGTCTTCATAATTGATGGAGTTAGGAAGTTAGCAAGTGAAGCAATTTATATATTTCCTGAAACGTTGTGAATTCCTTGTTGTCTCTCCGTTCCGTTCCATGACCTACTAAACGCAACGAGAGATTAATTAACTTTAACTTTCTGCTAATTACTTTCAACTGTGGAGACTAAATGGAAACGAACACCTTGCATTACCGAGTTTTTGTCATTCAGTACTTAAACATTCATATTCAACATTTGAAATATGAATTTAGAATTACAAAAAAGAAAATGGAAAAAAGACACACGTTATTTTCAACGAGAATACAATCAATTTTATTAAAATTCTGTGTACAATATAAAATGAGTCTTACGAATAATTCAAAATTACAACTATCCAATAAAAAGCACTCTTCCGCGTGTGCTTTTCCTTCTTCTGATAAAGTCCATGGAACACTATATATCCTTAGTCGTGTTTCCCGATATTGAGTCCTTTTTCATTCAACCACGAGGGCTCAATGACAGACAAACCACGAAGATAACATCTTCCAGTGGCTACGACCTCCGTGAACAATACCAGCGGTGGCTTAGTACCATGTAACGTCGAGGAAGGATGTATTGCTACCGGCTGCTTCGAGCTCACCTACACAGACGGACAATCCAATTACTCCAAAATTCTCGTTACCCAGTCACCGGGTGAAAACTTACTTAAACTGCGCCCTATACCCGGCGAACTTGTTTAAGCTTCAAATTCCCGGCAAGACGACGAAATAATGCTAACCATGCCGGTGGAAAAACTTTTCCTTAATCACTTGGCGTTAACTTTTTTACCCCCCTCGTTGCTTTTCTTCGTCGATGAATGAAAATGGACACCCCATGAATACGATTATAAACGTATTCGGAGTAAAATTCCAAAATTGCAGATTTAAATAATAAAATAAAAGGATGTTTGACAGAAGAAGAAATTGAAAGCTTCTGGGAAGGCAACTAAAATTTCCATAGCATCTAAAGTGTTAGGATCGTGGTAACAACGATACAAGGATCAACTCACTGTAACATAATTTTGGTCCCTTTGCAGTTCCGCCAGATTGTCGTATAGACCCTCGAGGAGCGCTTTTCTCAGTTGCTCCGTATTCGTACCGCAGCTCGCCTTCTCCAAATTCGCGCGTTCCGCCAATGCGGCGAGCTGTTGTCGCACCTCCGTGGCGTACTCCAGATTTCTATGATGCAGAAAGTTTTCGTGACACCAGACCTTCTTCTGCTTCGTGTTCATGTATGCACGGAAAACGTTCAGCAACGTGACGTGATCTCCCTCGGGTGAAGCGAATCTGGAACGAACGAAACAGACTGGCGACGTAGCACGTAACAAAGTGCAAGTATCGATCACCCTTCGAGACTGTTTGACGTTTAAAAGAATACAGCCCGCTCTAGATTCGTGAATTTTTTTTAACACAATGCAGCTTTTGTTGCATAAATGAAAGATTAAGCTCGTTGTTTCTAAAATTTCATTTTTCTTAACATCTCGAAGGTATCCTTTTCCGATGTTGCTAAGAAATAAAAGTTCGTGGCAGGAAACGAATAAAATTGATACCTCGATCTGGCGACGTAAGCTTGCTGTCGTTTCGCAGGTGGATCGGTGAAGACGGACTCTCCAGACAATAACGAAACGACTGTGAGAGCTTCTTCGAGACAGTGATACTCGACGGAAGCAAGAATCACCTTGGTGAACCGTGGGTCCAATGGGAATAGAGACATTGTCCTGCCGAGCGTAGTCAGCTGCGGTGGAGAACCTATTCGCGTGAAAATCAAATGAGAAAGTTTGATCTGACATGGTAATACCCATGGAACTGGAATTGGAGGAGAAATAAGGGTAGTCGATTGTTCTGAATCCTTCCTGTTCATTCCGGTAAAGTTTTCTTTTCTTTGCTCATTACAGTATAGTTCTATGCTTCTTTTTTAATAACATAAAGTTAGATGAAATTCATTTTTCATCTGATCAATGGACTACTTGTTGAAAACAAAAAATTTCATTTTCAATGTTTTAAAATCAAGACAAAAAAGAAACATATTTCTTGCAATCTTCCAAAATAATTACACTCGCCTTTAACAGCGCCCAGTTTTTCCAAACAGGTCACCGCGACGTCGACCGCTTCCTTCGGTGGTTTGTCCATAAAATCAAAGGTGGTGATATCAACCCCGATGGCAAGGAGTTGTAGGGCTACTCCCGCGAGGGAACATCTCTGTATCTCGGGCACAGGCATCTCCTTCATCCTCTCGAATTCTTCTTTCGTGTACGTCCTATAACATTTACCAGCCGTTTCTCGGCCCGCTCTGCCAGTCCTCTGCCACGCCTGTGCCTTTGAGACTTTCTCCACCCTCAATACATCCAACCCTGTCGTTGGGTGATGAGTTCTTGCTTTGACCACGCCGGTGTCGATCACGTGTCGAATTCCTGTGTAATTTCATCGGGAATCAGCGTGTAGCAGGATGCCAGAATCCTCTCGCGAATGTAATCACGAAAGCGCGGCGAGTAATCAAGTCTGTCACGAACGAGTACCGAGCTTTCGGCTCGTGATATTAGCAGATTGCCACGCTCTCGGAAAATGAGATTGCTCTCTCTGATGAACAATTTACCGAATTAACCTGTTGCCTAACGATCTCGAACTGGTCGGAATTTTTTTTTCGAAAGGATAGCCCTTTGTTTTTTTATTTTAACAGTACTATAGAAGGAATTACTTTAGAAAAGATGATGTGATGATAGTAATTTTGCCGTTTCGATCGCAGCCTATTTTTGGAGTGGATTAGTATACAGTTTCTAATTGATCCCTTGCCTATGATGTATAGATTTTTAATTCTACAGATATTGGGTGGGTGCATATTAACCCCCTGACCTGGAATAACGTGCGCGCACGTCGATTTCTATTTGGCTTCAAACTGAAAATTACGTCCCACGAACATCATTTGATGTTATTGTTTGAAATCAGTGCATGGTTCTGTAGGGGATACTGAACTTACGGGTGATTTATCATCATTCTCAAAAATCCTATTTTTAATTATGTAGATTTTCGCTTAGAAACTGGGCAATCAAAGTCTTCAAATTGCTACCTTAATTATGTTTATTAATTTATACTCACCGCCAATGGTAACAGAGGTTTCAGCCACGTTGGTAGCCAAAACGAGTTTCCGCATTCCTGGAGGGGATGGTTTAAAAGCTTCTAATTGTTGATGAGTCGGTAAAGCGGAATACAATGGAAAGACCTTTAACGGAAGATACCCTTGTCCGTCCAATTGTTTAGCTACTTGTCTTGCACTCGCAACTGCTGCTTCTATCTCTTCTTGTCCGGTTAAAAAGATCAGAATATCCTCGCTGAAGAGAAGACAGAAAAATTGCGAAAATCGTTTGTTTCCTTTTGACCTAGTTTCTGTTCGAACCGCTCTTGTCTAATTTAATAAAAGTAACGGTGTGTAAACACCAAGATCTTGTATCTGGCTTGCTGAATTGAAAATTAGACTGACAATTTTTCTTGTAGATACCTTGAAACGTTCAATTCGACTTCTTTGGACATTTTATTATAAATGTACGGTAATGATCTAAACGCATCGAAGCCAAAATTTCAGTAACATTCAAAACGTAAGAAAAAGCTGGATGAATGCTTACTTGGCGGGGTTGTCGCGATGAATCTGAAAGGCAGTAACAAGCGCGGAGAACGCATAATCTTCCTGCGACTTGACGGCATGATAAATCTTCACCGGATGCTGACGACCCTCCAAGTACACGGGCGGTGCTTGAAAATACTTGGAGAACTTATCGACGTCCATCGTCGCCGACATGACTAGCAGCTTCAAAGGTGGTAGATTCTTAAGCTTTCGTAAGTTTTGCGCTCGTCTTGCAACCCCTAGTAACACGTCCGTCTGCACCGATCGTTCGTGAGCCTCGTCCAAGATCACCACCGTATAATCCGACAGAATTTCATCGGTCATTGCTTCGCGAACCATCATTCCATCCGTTAGATACTTGATTCGGGTTTGAGGGGATGTGACGTCCTCGAAACGCACGCAATATCCAACTAATTTACCCGTTTCGACACCCTGTTCCTGTGCCACCCTACGCGCTATGCTTACAGCCGCCACCCTCCGCGGTTGAGTGATACCGATACAACCGGAACTGCCAGCTATTCCGGATGAAAGAAGTAGCTGAGGGATTTGGGTGGTCTTACCACTGCCCGTTTCGCCGATAATGATCAAGGTTTTGTTTTTGCGGATCTCTTCGAGCAGTCTGAAAGGGATAATATTGAGAGAATTTTTCACGTTTGAAGTGATTAGAGATCTAATTGGAAGATTAGGGAATAGACTGCTGGCATTTGTAAAAATATATTATACATATGAAAGATTTTTGTGTGAAGAAGAGGATGGTTTCCTACCCCTTGCATATAAATATTTCTTAAAAATTATTTGATTTCTTTTCTAAATCACTTTCAATATTAATATCGTCAAAATTAAAATTTAATTAAAAAGTTATTCTTGCAGAAAGCGAGTCTCCTTAGTGTACGTGGTGCTGCCACCTACACGGCCATCTAACGAGTTACTGGAAATACGCAGTCGGTGATTCTCCATTTTGTTTCGCCATGCTTCGCATGCACGAGTAGAAGACATTGTTAACAGGTAGGGAATACATTCAGTATTAAAGATTACATTTATAAAACAAAACAAGGTAATTCTTACCGCTTACGAAGCCTGTACACCGGTAAAGTTTTCCTCTGCTGTTGTAAGCTAATAATTCCTTTATCCACGTTTTCTGTCTGAACAGTTTGTTGAGTATCTTCGTACTTTTGAATTTTACTGGGAGTATCGTTAAACACGACGGTATTAGGACGTTTCGGTGCCAATTTTGAAAAACTCGAAGCACCCATAACACTGTACTTCGAATCTGCATTGTCGTGAACCCCCATTTTATCAATAATGTAAGTAAAGACTAGCTTATCACCGATATTCCGTCCGCGAGCACGCACGTGTTGCACACTACAGCTGTGTACAAATAAGCGTCTTGACAGAACTATAGTCAATGGCGTCCCCATACTGTCATATGATACAAATTTTATTTTATGGGATAAATGAAGGAAAAGAAACGCATAAGTCAGTTTTAAAGTCTTGCATGTAAAATTTTATTATATTTGCTAAACATAAAACATTTTACACGAATAGAATTATTCAGAAAATATGAAAATTTCATTTTGTCTTTTATCATACAGCATAAAAAGCTATTTATGAACCTTTTTTGGATTTCACAATTGCTAAGCTTTCGATATAAAATAAATTGTACATTATATATTAAATTAGCATTAGTAGCTACAAAAGAAAGCCATATACAGACAGTTGCATAAATTTTCTTTTTTGTTCAAACATTATGCTTACATGTTACAACTTATTACGTATCATAAAAAATAAGTAATTAAACATCTTTACATATATATATATATTCTGTTTAAACAAGAGGTAGAAAATAATTCTTGATTTATTTGTATTATAAACATGCTGCTCCATTGTACTTAATAAGTTGTATTACGATTAAAATTTATAGTTACAGTTAATGCTAAACTAAATGATATATAGATTTGTCATTTGTCAACTCGTCGACGTTTATAAACTATCAATTAAAAATCTATTTGTCGACTTGTTAAAAATGATTCGTACTTGGCTTTCAACATATCAATTAAAAAATTATCACAGATTAATGCTATGTGAGAGGAAGACACAGTGAGCAAATCTTTTTAACGAGATTTTAAACGAACATAACTATTTCTTTTCCAAATTTAATTCTAAATGAAATTCATCATCGTAATGGTCGATAGATCGTCGGTTTGACATTAGGAGGTACCTAAAAACGTAAAACAAATTAGTTAAATTACATACCGTTGTATAGTTATTTTTATAATACTGTCTGAACTATAAAATATCAGAAGAAATTTATGTATAACAATTACCATTCCTCCAATACGAGCAAGATAGCGATTTCTTATGCTGATATCAGATTGCGGCTGTAAAAGATCATCAGTTGACAAATCTGAAGTAGATTCCGGAGGTAATAATTTTTCCCTTTCGAGACTTTCCGGTGTACGTCGAATTTCCGCATATTTTTCTCTTTGACCTGGTGTCATATTTAGATAACCACCGCTTGTCGCTATATCTGACACCCAGATTGCAATAGAAGTTATCAACGAAACTGTTATTGAAAGAATGTTAATTAAGAATTTTTGTAGAATTATTCGAACGATTATAATGTAGAAAAAATAAAAGACATACTCCATAACCAAGTTAAGAAAAACATCTCAAGGATGAAGTAACCACCTCGGTCGACAATTATGCCCGCTAATATTGAAACTACTGCTAAACCCAGATTTTGTACAGCCTGCGCGCTGCAAACAAGAGATTTTGTAAAACTAAGAATTTCATTGTCTCTAGCTGTTCAGAGTGCAGTAAGCTTTACTTACATTCCATAAGCAGTACCAAGCTGGTATTCTGGGATAACAAGAGCAATCAATGGCCATAAACTACTAGCAAGCATAGAGTATGCTATTCCCATAAGAATCATGCAGATATAAGGATTCACATACGTGAATGCGAGTAGTCCATGAGCTACTATCGTTGCTAAAATACTTATAAATACCCATGAAACGTTTTTCCCAGTTTTATCGACCAGATATCCCAAAATCGGAGATGCGATAGCTGATATGGAATATACAAGAGAATTAACTGTATTTGCATTTGTTGGTTCGTAAGCGTATTTCCGTTCAAAGAATACTCTGTAGGAAAGAGTTATATAACATTTGTAGATATACAAAATATGATAACGGAATTTTTTTTATTATTCATACTTACTTTCCTAAGGCGATGAACGGGAATATTGCGACATAATAAGCAATGCAAATGAAAGCAATTAACCAAAATATTGGCTTGAAATCTTTAACATCTGTTAAACTAACAGTTTTAGCTTCTTGTCCCTCTCCTCTTCTCAGTAATCTCTCAGCACGCTTATCCATGATACCCAATACACATGCACAGATCATAGAACCCACAAGTGTGAGAGTAGCAAGAAAGAGAACTATGCCAATACACTCTGGACCTTTGTAATATTGGGACACATAATTGTAGATTGGTTCCATTACCAAAAAATTGATAGTGGATCCAACTCTTGCAAAACTCAATTGCAAACCAAATACCATATTGAGTTCCTTTCCCTTGAACCATAGAACAGCATAACTGTTCTGAGCAACAGCTAATGATTCTGCACCAATACTATGAAAGATATAAAAATTAATGCTAACACTAGTGACTGAGGTTCTTAATAACTTATGATAAAATACATACCCGAAAATAAAACGTCCAAGCATCATCACCCAAAATGTATTGACCATAGCTCCTGTTGCAAATATTATCTGTCCAATTAAAGTGAGTCCCATGTATATAACTGTGCCTAAACGTACACCGAAGACACTATCCAACAAAAATCCACCAATGAAACAGAGAACCACGTTCGGCCAGGAGTAAATTGAATAAAGCCAAACGAATTTGCTAGTGGACATATGTAGATCAGTTTTGAAATTATCCTGTAAAGCTCCAGGATTGTCAAAACAGAAATACGAACCTTAAAAAGAAAAGAAAGAAGAGGATTTGATTAGATTAATTATGGTACGGAGTGAAATTGCAGACGCGAGATAAGCGAATCATCTTGGACGGGTCAATGACCTAATCATTCGAGAGAATGATCCTCGAAAGAGCTGTCGAAAAACGTGATTCATAATTTACGCACATCGAGCATATTTTATATTATTTTTAACAGGAACCTTACTGTTATTTCCATATCGGGATATTAATATAGAACAGATAAAACTTCGGAGATAAGAGAAAAATTACTTTTCGATACTCTCGTTATTATCGAAGTGAACACAAAGCGATGTGTGCATGCATATTAATAACGAAAAAAAAAAATTAAAGCCCAATTAGATAAACTGTTAATTACTCGCGCGCGTTTAGTTCACTCAAACAAAACGTTTATCAGAAATATGCATGTTAAGTGCGATTATCCAACGTTTCTTGGAAAACATTCCCTTTGTTTCAAATAAACATAACAACAACTTAATTATCGTGAATAAATAAAGCGATGAGAAACGTAAATAGCATAAAAGGGTATTAAAATTTATTGTTGGTCAAATATTCGCGCAAATAAATGAAATATAATTTTAAGTTTCAATGAAACTTAATTCGTTTTAGTGTCGTTCATAAAATTAATTTTTATAATAATTATAAAATCGTATCACACGTGATTTTATTTATTAAAATGTAAACTTTGCATTAAGCGTTAAGTTTTCAAAATACATTCATTAAAAACAAATAAGAATGTTCCAAAAATGTATCAAAAATAAATACTAAAAGTTGTTTATAGTTCAAAGATAACGCGCCTGCAATGAGATCACAATGTACGGAAACAAAAATGATTAGATATAAACAATGGCTACTCAGTCACGCTTTGATAACATTGTATTGGCCATCGTACCGAAGCCTAAGAGGCACATCAATGCTAGTCCGAGAAACCTGTATGGTGCCTTTTTAGGACTGCAGAATCCTTGTAGAGCGATCTCATCGTCGGATCTGTCCAGAGTAGTATCTGGACTTTGCAATATGCCTCCTTCCATGGTCCGTCGGGTATTCCTGATGGTTGTTTTAGTGTTTACAACAAAAAGGCACAGCCACAGGTGCCTCGAATTGCAGACGACCACTTAAGTTCACCGTATTAAACATTACACATTGATCAGACACAGATAAGTCAATCTTGTAATGAAACAAGACAGCTGTAACTCAATTTAGAAAAAACGGATTACATTAAAGATCAGCTCGTGAACGCTGTCGATTAACTGCTCGAGTAAGTTAGGTACGCGACCAATCGTGTCATTGCTAATCTGTCAATCGTCCATACGCGTCATGGGAATGATCTAACGTTAGTCACGAAACTACTAAGTACCACAAGATTAACGAAAAAATCTCTAACGTAACAGGAGGATGGAAATGTTGCCAACAACGTCTATAGGTTCCGTTTGATTTTCCGCTTCGTGGCGCCCTCTAAGCGCTAGTAAATTGGTCGGTAAAAGGGACACCATTGAAACAGACACCATATTGATTTTTATAAATTTATTGAGAAACATAACTTATTAACGAATGTACATAATGATAACTTAACGCTAAATGTATTTTATATGAAAATTATCTTAAATTTAGAGTTTGGGATATGAAAAGTTGGATCCTAAGAGGTTACACTCTTAAGAAGCAACTTCTTCTGTCGCGCCTTCGAATTCGAGCTTCACTTGACACTCTTCGGGTAATCCTTCAACGTCCACTTCCGATTCTGGTGCATTTAACATATTTAGCGTTACCTCCGCCGATTTCCCCATTAACCCTTGATTCGCCGTTTGTTGTTTCGATACTTGCTGTTGTTGAACAACTGTCGACTGTTGCGTTGACTGTTGGGATAACATTTGTTGTCTGATCGGCATTCCAGCTTCTTCGAATGCTTTCTTCTTTAATGTTGTTCGAATCTGAGAACTGAAAGGTCGAATTGACCGGTTAATATGGCGTCGAGACTGACGCAGAGAAATTGAGGAACAACCGTGGGCTCGATGCAGCCTTTGTTAACTTACACCGTTCGTCCCTTGATGTGCTCACTTATTTTGTTCAAATCTTCGCTGAAGGTCTTTACCGAGTGACGGAGCATCTCAATTTCCTCGTCAGTCCATTTACTACAGATTAAGCGACACAGGAAGTTAAGTAAAAATACAGCCAGATGTTATTTTGCGGTAAAGCAATATCAATACAAGTCGTGATTATCATATCATTGGAAATACAAAGAAAATCTCATACTGTAATGGGTTATCTACATTCATTAATGATCACATAAAACATAAATTCGAACTTAGTATAAAGATAAACAACATTTATCACATTTATATAAAAATAAAATAAAGTAAAAATGATAAAAGTATTTATTCAAGTTTGATCGTTTGAAAACGAAACTTAAATATTTAGTGGTAGGTTTCTCATTGGTTAATCACTGATACCATGTGACCTCCCGCGTTTCTCCAACGTCTATAGTGGTTGCGTGAATTTAAGCGGAAGCATAAAACTCATTGTTATATTTGCAATAAAAAGCAATACAATATGTGTTAATTGTTCAATTACCCTGCCGGTGAGTCCGTCGTGGGATGTAATTGCATAGTTAACTCTCCGAGCTTATTAAATGCTGCTCCGGCTGCAGTGAAAATTTCACCAACCTAAAACAATAATGAAATACTTATCCATCTATCAAGTATGTAATTAACACTAATTTTCTGCTTGTGTAGATTTTAGTTGAACAGTTAATACACTATAATATATATCGCACCATTGTATGGGGAAGAAAAATAATAATAATAAAAAAAACGTTTTAAGATGTGATCATAACCTAACCTTGTGCCCACTCATAGACTCCATTGCTATAATACTAGAGGGTAAAAGCACGTGACTCCCGTAGAAAAAGAAAGACGAGCGGTGGGGAGAATGACCGTTAAGAGTTATATGGCGGGAAACTCCCTAAAATCGGCGACAACAACTGCCTTTTAACTTACCTTGCTCGCAGAGTTCATGTCAATTTGTGTTGTACCCGTACTTCGCCATCAGACGAGCAAATGTACGCTATTGCCATCTCGCGTCGTTCTCAGAATCTTTTCCTTTAAACAACTAGAACCTGTAACTTCCTTGTTGTTTCTTTTTTCTCCCCATCTCCCATCTTTTAAACTACTCTGCGATGGGGTTTAGTTGATGTTAGATTTTCAGGGTGTATATAATACTAAAGACTTGTATGAATAATATTAAAATTATTCAAAACATAAGATTCATATATGCGCCTCAAAACTTGTCTTTAATTAACATACAACACTTAGGCAGATAAACGTAATTAGGAATTAAGATTAAACACGTTTATTAGATTACTCACGCAACTGGAGAAACTGAATATCGACGTGGAGATGTAAAAAAAAATATAATGTAAGATTTTAATACATATAATTTATTAATTATTTATTGCAAAATATAAAATTTTAATTAAATAAAATCTTGCAATATATCTGCGCAAAAATGTAGAAACATAAAAAATTTTCAAAAATATAACAATAAGTTAGTTAACAAAGAATTATAAAATTATAAATTGTTATTAACTAACTGTTATTAACAAAAATGTCAAATTCGATTCAAAGTAGTTTGCGCGAGAGCAGTGAAGCGGAACGTCACGCTTGATTGCGCACCGCGGCGCGCATCTCCTATTGTTATCGGTGCTCGACCTAGAGCGGGGTTAAATTTAGTCAGTTTTGTCGCGACCGCCGAGGTGTACGGATCTACCTGTCACGTATAACAGGTACGCGTTCATAACGCGAGTGTTAGTACACGTGGCCTCCCATGTGTTATCACATGTATTAGTGTGTGTGTCTATGGTGTTTCCCATGCATCTTGGAATATTTATGCGGATTTATCAGTGTTTTATGAAGTGCATGAGTGTGTCCTATGGTGTGGTACCCCTTGCATTTTGGAATGTATACGCATGTGCTTTATGGTGTTTTATGGTGTGGCTCCCCATGTGTTTTGACATATTTATACGGATTTATTAACAAGTTTTATGGTGTAGTTTCTCACGTGTTTTACCGTACTTTGACAAATATTTTATGGTGTTCTGTGGTGTAGTTCCCTATGTATTTTGCCATACTTTTGCAAATGTATTACTGTGTTTTATGGTCCGGTGATGGTCGTGTTATTTTGCATGCGTATTTTTAAATTTGCATGGGTATTGAGATATTTGCGAAGTTACAAATAGTTGTTTATTACATGTTTGCATGAATATATTTGTATACGTTAATTATAATACAAAAGTTAAACGGAAATGTATATCGTTCAAGAATCGTGATCTTTTGGGTTTCAGGAAAGTATTATGGTCAAAATGAGGGTACCATTTCTGTGACGAGCCACTGATCATGGGTCAATTCTAAGATGCGTTGCGAATGCAGTGGTGCAAGTCAACGTTCGGTGAGTCGCATGCTTTAAAGTTCCTCCGGTTCCCATCATGTCGTAGGACGAATGGTCCGTAGCGACACGGGAATTGGTTGTAATTTTTACTTTTTGAGCGAGCATAGTGACCCACGAATATCACTGTATCATTATATACAATGATAATCGTGCAAATTGCTTTTTTGTGTATTTTATGCCTTAGCTCAGGATAGGGTTTTCTTGTACATATTTACACATATAGATTTCAAGTTTAAAAATGTAGAGAAGTCGGATGACCCTCCGACTTCACAATACATTTTCTTTTTTATATGTACAAGAATTTATTTCGCGATGAGCGGATTTCAATATCAAAGTAATAAGCATGAATACTATAAATTACTATAACTACTTACTTTGATAACGAAATCGCTCTTGAAATTGAAACGTTTTTCCGATTTTACTCTTGAAATTGGCATCAGTTTAGTATATGGGCTGGCCCCCAGAGGGGTCGGTATTTGCTCTTCAAGCATTGTATAAAGTTCTCCTTTCGAACTTGAAATTCATTCTGTCACGTTCACGGTTCTCGACCCTAAACACTCATCATTCGCACTTCAGCCTCACGAACTCTATCACATAATCATTTATCCACCCGCATACGCTTGTGTAGGGATATATTACCCCGTTATGATTTTCAAGTTTAAGTAGTGTTGCGAAAAATTTTCAACGCGAGAGTAAATATTACTAAGTTAGAATTTTCAAGTTTAAGTAGTGTTGCGAAAAATTTCCGGCGCGAGAGTAAATATGACTATACACTGACTAGTATTCGGTGGGAATCCTATTGGTTTTTATTTGATAAAATTAGTTACAAGGATTCCGCGGCATAAGACCGTGAACACCACCTCATGGGAGATAAAACCATGCATTACTAGGCCTTTTCAGGCACAGCCATAGAGTACGGAACATTTAAGTATGTTGCAACCCATACGCTAAGCTGTCTTAAAGTCCTTTTGCCTATACTATGGGCGTCCACCACTCGGACACGTTGGATGCAACGTGTTCGATGGGTGGGTAGCGCTCTTAGCGAAGGGGTGCACCCTGCCTGGGCCTAGAGCCTTAAACAGGCGGGGTGGGCGGTATGTAGCGTCGGGCGTAAGTCCAGGGGGCCTAAGAACCTCCGTTGCCAGCTGATATTAGCAGTGGACGAATGTTTGAGTCATATTTGCTCTATTTTGCTTTTCAATATTTGCTCTTCAAGCATAATTTAAAGCTCCCCTTTAGTCATGTTGCTAGATCAGGATTTTCTATTTCAATTAGTGTTGCGAAAAATAACGCGAGAGTAACTATGACGATGCACTTACTAGTATTCAGTGGGAATCCTTTTGGTTTTTAAACTCAATGTTTTATTTAATTAATCAAATTAGTTACAAGGATTCCGCGGCATAAGACCGTGAACACCATCTCTGGGAGATATACCCATGCATTACTAGGCCTTACAAGGTGCAGTTTAGGATGTGGCGCCCATCCATAGGTTCCATTTAATAAACTGCAGTCCTTTTGTCTATACTATGGGCGTCCGTCAATCTGACACGTTGGATGCAACGTGTTGGACGGGCGGGTAGCGCTCTTAGCGAAGGGGTGCACCCTGTTCTAGGCGGGGTGGGTGGTATGTAGCGTCGGGCGAAAGTCCAGGGGGCCCGAAAACCTCCGTTGCCAGCTGATATTAGAAGTGCACCATTTTTGCGTCATAGTTGCTCTATTTTGCTTTTCAGTATTTGCTCTTCAAGCATTATAGAAAGCTCTTCGATCATACTTCAAATTCATTCTGTCACGTTCACGGTTCTCGACCCTAAACACTCATCATTCGCACTTCAGCCTCACGAACTCTATCACATAATCATTTATCCACCCGCATACCCTTGTGTAGTGAAATATTACCCCGTTAGGATTTTCAAGTTAAAGTAGTGTTGCGAAAAATTTTCAACGCGAGAGTAAATATTATCCCGTTCGGATTTTCAAGTTTAAGTAGTGTTGCGAAAAATTTTAAACGAGAGAGTAAATATTGCCCCGTTAGAATTTTCAAGTTTAAGTAGTGTTGCGAAAAATTTTGAACGCGAGGGTAAATATTACCCTGTTAGAATTTTCAAGTTTAAGTAGTGTTGCGAAAAATTTCCGGCGCGAGAGTAAATATGACTATATACTGACTAGTATTCGGTGGGAATCCTTTTGGTTTTTATTTGATAAAATTAGTTACAAGGATTCCGCGGCATAAGACCGTGAACACCACCTCATGGGAGATAAAACCATGCATTACTAGGCCTTTGCAGGCACAGCCATAGAGTACGGAACATTTAAGTATGTTGCATCCCATACGCTAAGCTGTCTTAAAGTCCTTTTGCCTATACTATGGGCGTCCACCACTCGGACATGTTGGATGCAACGTGTTCGATGGGTGGGTAGCGCTCTTAGCGAAGGGGTGCACCCTGCCTGGGCCTAGAGCCTTAAACAGGCGGGGTGGGTGGTATGTAGCGTCGGGCGCTAGTCCAGGGGGCCTAAGAACCTCCGTTGCCAGCTGATATTAGCAGTGGACGAATGTTGAGTCATATTTGCTCTATTTTGCTTTTCAATATTTGCTCTTGAAGCATAATTTAAAGCTCCCCTTTAGTGATGTTGCTAGATCAGGATTTTCTATTTTAATTAGTGTTGCGAAAAATAACGCGAGAGTAATTATGACGATGCACTTACTAGTATTCGGTGGGAATCCTTTTGGTTTTTAAACTCAATGTTTTATTTAGTTAATCAAATTAGTTACAAGGATTCCGCGGCATAAGACCGTGAACACCATCTCATGGGAGATAAAACCATGCATTACTAGGCCTTTCAAGGCGCAGTTTAGAATGTGGCGCACATCCATATGTTCCATTTAATAAACTGCAGTCCTTTTGCCTATACTAGGGGCGTCCGTCAATCTGACACGTTGGATGCAACGTGTTGGACGGGCGGGTAGCGCTCTTAGCGAAGGGGTGCATCCTTTCCTAGGCGGGGTGGATGGTGTGTAGCGTCGGGCGTAAGTCCAGGGGGCCTAAGAACCTCCGTTGCCAGCTGATATTAGAAGTGCACCGTTTTTGCGTCATAGTTGCTCTATTTTGCTTTTCAGTATTTGCTCTTCAAGCATTGTAGAAAGCTCTTCGTTCGTACTTCAAATTCATTCTGTCACGTTCACGGTTCTCGACCCTAAACACTCATCATTCATACTTCAGCATCACGAACTCTATCACATAATCATTTATCCACCCGCATACCCCAGTATAGTGAAATATTAGCCCGTCAGATGTTTATGTACTAGTCATGTTTTTAGATCAGGATTTTCTATTTTAATTAGTGTTGCGAAAAATTTCCAACGCGAGAGTAAATATGACAATGCACTGACTAGTATTCGGTGGGAATCCTTTTGGTTTTTAAACTCAATCCAATATTTTATTTAATCAAATTAGTTACAAGGATTCCGCGGCATAAGACCGTGAAACACCATCTCATGGGAGATAAACCCATGCATTACTAGGCCTTTGCAGGCGCAGCTTTAGAATACGGAACATATGAAAATATGTTACCATATTCTAAACTGTAGTCCTTTTGTCTATACTATGGGCGTCCGTCAATCTGACACGTTGGATGCAACGTGTTGGACGGGCGGGTAGCGCTCTTAGCGAAGGGGTGCATTCTGTCCTGGCGTTACGACGTCCAGGCGGGGTGGGTGGTATGTAGCGTCGGGCGCAAGTCCAGGGGGCCTAAGAACCTCCGTTGCCAACTGATATTAGCAGTGCACCATGTTTTATGTCATAGTTGCTCAATTTTGCTTTTCTGTATTTGCTCTTCAAGCTTTATATTTGCAAAGTCCAGTCACTTTTATTAAAAATAAAACCCCCTGGGGGGGCCAGCCCATATACTAAATCGGAGCCGTGAAATTTCGCCGATATTCTTACTTTTAATAAAGTGAGAATATCATCTTTAGTTTTTGCTAATCATACGTTTTAGCTTAGGCATTTCAGCACACATGAAGAAAACTGGTAGGTGAAAATACCTTTGGCCTTGTTCATTTTTATGCCCAAAGCTCATTCGGGTACTTAGATGTACTCGCGTGGGTGGAGGGCGGTGGACAAGGTTTAGTTTTAAGTGTATATTTTGGCGACTGACAAAAGTAGTGAACCAATAGTGAACCACGATATAAGTTCCACATGTGTGTGTGTGGTTAGGATGTGGGATTTGTGTCGTTTATTAACAATCTTAACTTACTATAACATTGCAAAATACTTATCAAGAATAAATTGCAAAATTTTTACATTAGATAATTCAATCGAATACGAAAATGAAATGTATTAGTTTAGCGTAATGTTCACTATTATTTGTCAGTCGATTTCAGCAAAAAGGTATGATTTTATTAGAGTGTGAAAGTTGAATTGAACTCGGGTGTCGGAGGCGTCCCGGGACGTTCTCTCTAGGTGTAGGCATTTTTGCACCCGGGTGGTTGTATGAGAACCGTGGAGTGAATTTTTGTGAGAATGATTTTTGCCCTTTTTTAAATATAGCGATAGGCAGGCAGGTAGTTTACTTCTGGTGTGATTGAGTTTAGTTTATAAGTAGGCAGGGCCAGAGCAAGCTTTCATGTTTCTCTTCGTATTCTCCTCTAATACGTGAGAAGCTTGTATCTGGGGTTGGGAAACCAAAAATCAAGAGAAAAGATGAAAATGTAATTTAATTAATTTATCAATTAATTAATTTAGCATTCTCTCTTGATTTTTTCAAGGCCAAGCCTTATTAGTTTGTAAGTCGTAGTCGTGGTACTAGACCCGATTACAAAAATGAAGTATTAAAGTGAAAGTGCAGTGAAGTGAAGTGAAGTGAAGTGAAATTAAAAAGTGTTTTCTGCTTGGACATTTGCAAAAATTATGCAGGTATGCGAGTAGCGATTCAAGGGATCGTTGCTCGTTTACGTGTTACGTTTTTACAATTGTCTGAGCAAACGTAAAATTTTCGCGAGTGATTTTTGTGAGGCTATTGCCGAAGAAAGAAGAGGCTATATGCTGAAGAGCCCCGGCAAAATTTGCCCAGAAGAGGGGAACTACTAATGGCTCTCCATCTTCGGATGGACAGTCATTCTGTCACTATGCTCGCTAATTTTTTTTGTGTGTGTGTCTTTTACAGGTTTTGTTTCTCATGTGAAATTTTACGAGTTTATAAAATCGAACTCGTTGAGTTATCGAATCGCAATTTTATTTCTCCCCTTTTGCTTTAATTTATTATTTTATTTCAGGAAGTTATTCCTTTCTTATTGATTTTGCAGATGAATCACATCTTATGTTCTCGTATGATTTGCTTTATTAAATGGTTCTGAGGTTGCAATATTCATTATGTTTTCTGTTTCCGAATTTTATTGTTTCAATTGTTACTGAGATTACGATGTTAACAATTATTTTTTCTCTTACAGCATTTTATTATTGAAATTTTTATTTTCTTAATTGTTACTAAAATTATGATGTTAATAATCATCTTTCCTATTACAGCATTTTATTGTTGAAGTTGTTATTTTGTCGATTCTTACATTCTCGATAACATTCTTTATTAAATGGTTCTGAGGTTGCAATGTTCATTATGTTTTCTGTTTCCGAATTTTATTGTTTCAATTGTTACTGAGATTACGTTGTTAATAATTATCTTTTCTTTTACAGCATTTTATTATTGAAATTTTTATTTTCTTAATTGTTACTAAGATTATGATGTTAATAATCATCTTTCCTATTACAGCATTTTATTGTTGAAATCGTTATTTTCTCGATTCTTACATTCTCGATAACATCCTTTATTAAATGGTTCTGAGGTTGTAATGTTCATTATGTTTTTTGTTTCCGAATTTTACTATTTCTATTGTTACTGAGATATTACGATGTTATTAATTATGTTTTATTATTACAGCATTTTATTGTTGAAATTGTTATCTTTTCGATTTTCACTGATATTAGGATGTTAATGTTTTTTATTTCAGCATTTTATTGTTTAAATTGCTATTTTATGTTGTGTATTTTGTAGGGTATTTGTTTCAGGTGGGTCACTATCGTAGCCACCTCCTCGTGGTGTGACCTGGTAATTGATATCGCTTTCTAAAAATTACTTTTAGAAAGCGCTATCAAGCTAAGTGCTACGATTCAAAATTTTTTTTGGAAAACAATGATTTAAATTCAAAATTTATTTTCGGAACTGCAATATTAGTATGAATGAAAAAAAGTAAAACTAAAGTTCGTATGCGTGAATTGTTATATATTATAGGAAAATTACATTCATGTAGAACAATATTATCGAATAAATAATGAATGCAAATTAATAACGTAAATTACAGATCATGATACAGATAATTATCTTGATTTGACGATTTCATGTTCGTTGATGAAACATTTCGAAACGAACATGAGTGGAATAAAATTTACAAAAATCTTCATTTCGATTCCGAGCCCCTTAATTACTTATATTCATAATTTTCCTTTGGTACAATTTTACATGCTTTCTTAATTATTTACGATGGTACGTGCGAATAAATAATAAATTGCATAGTATTAAATATAATAATGAAAACGTCAATCACTCTTGCTTATGGAATATAGAAAACGATGCCTGGTAATCCTTGTAATTTACAATAATTCACATACCATCTAATTCATTTTCTATAATATAATATTGATTTTAAATCATTTATATTAAAGAAAAGAAATAAGTATTAAAATTTAAAGTCACGTACCGTTAAATGAGGAAGAAAGTAAAGATTAGTCTCTTTGGTAAAGTTAAATGTAGAAAAGTGCTCAAATACTAAAAATAAATTACAAACTGATTAATAATAAGTATTCACTATTAACGTATTGTACGGGTATACGTTTAGGTTTATTTATAAAAACAGAATGCTTACTGAATACGTGGTGCGTTATGTGAATCTACGAACGATATTTAACCCTTTCAATCTCGATACATTCTAACATCTCAACCTTTGTTTCGCTTCAATTTTCATTCTGTTGAGCCATTACCCATGGGTCATCTTGGACCCAAGGTAGATTATTAATAACCGAGTGTACATATCTTGGACGCGTCCATCGATTTTAAGAAAATAGTAAAATGAAAACTTAACGAGGAAAGAAATAGTTGGGAGATAATAAATTACGGGCATCTTAAACTATATTATTAACATTAGTATAATATATCAGTTAATTAATGAGGCGATACTTTGGGAGATTATTTAAAGAAATATCTGTCTCTAAATTAATTGTAAAAATAAATATCAATCGATTTCTTCAATTTCAATAACAAAAGTTAGAGAAATGATTTGTCATTTAAGGGTTAAAATCTTACAAAATCCTGTTAAACCTTAACAATAATGAAATAGTAGAAAAGAAAATTAATTATAAACGAGCCTCGGAATCGTAGCTAATATAAAAATCTACATAGAACTAATAACTTTTTCTCTTAGAATTAATGCATAAACGTTATCATTATTTATCTGCTAACAATGATGGTCGACGAAACGATTAATCTAAAATTACAGCCGCTTAAAAATGAACTTCTATAAAACGTTGATGTTGGGTTAAAGAACTACTTAATGGTCGTAGAATCGATAAATCGATGGCACGGAAAGTAATTCACGACTATAAGAAACGTCTTTCGATTTAAGTTACACTCTCAATATTTTTAGGTACATTGTCTTTCTATCTCTCTCTCGCATGCACTCTTATCTCTTACTCTCTTCAATTAACTTTCTCAACACTTACAGTAAATTACATTGTTCCTATTTACAGCGTGATATACATACAGATCGTTTCTCTATAAAAGTCGTTTCGCGGTGCATCTCATTTGCATACCTGTAGTCGAAGTACAAAACCGCTGTAACTTCGTTGAGATCAACCGATTTCCTGTTCACACAGGACTTATGGCTACTTACATGATTTTTAATCGCGATCGATCCGAATCGATCGGGATTAGATACTCCATCGACCTGTTTTCTACTTTTCTCGTATTCTTTTTTATTGTTTGTTTAACGTGCTAACTGTTTAGAGACTGTGAGATGATTATTATATGTTGAGATCGATCGATCGTCGATTCGTTTTGTTCGATCGTGTCGTTTTCGTTCGTCAATCAATTTATCTGATCGTTAACACCTTGTTCCTGTGTATTGGATTTCAATCGAGAGGAGTTTGAGCGATACTGTTGATTAGTATGATTATATTAATGCAGCGTGATGAGCGTGATAACTTGTGCCACGAAAGAGCGAGAAACAGAAAATTCTGATTCATAACAAAAGACCCGTATTTTTGTTTTCTCGTCGATTAGGCAGTAAGTTTTGCAGACAGTCTTCTTGATCGTTCGACAAGAAATCATTTCTTTATGTAGCTTTCAAACAACCGAAGAAACATGTGCGTGATTTTTGTTAAAAAGAAAGAACATAACTTGGCAATAGATTATTGTACGTATACGTAGGTTATCAATTTGTTATTGTTATTATTACCGTTAAACAGGCAGTGTTAATTTTTCCTTTAACTTTACTACGTCGTTACTGGTACAATTCGATCATTATATTTTATTCGTAATTAGTTTGGTTAATTAAGGAATTCTTACAATTTAAAAACGCTCCAGTATCCGACTTTAGAAAATAGAAATTATTGTATCGATTATAGACAATTTTTCTTTCTTTACAAACAACTATTCCGCGTTGTTGAAATGTAACTAATTTTCACTTAATTGTGTCTTTTTTTTAATTCGGAAATTTTCTAACAAACTCGCTTAAGTGCAAATTTTCTATAACATCGATCGTGTCTTCAAATTTGCTTTTGTCTTTTTAATGCGAACCGTTCGTTTAGATATCAAAATCTAGGTACAATGATATTCGCTTTCTCAGACTTGACGACTCACTTCCGGTACCGGTCGCAGTACGAACATTACACGCATAAAATATTTCTCTCTTCATTTACAATTTAACTTTTGCTAATATATTTTTACCCAGAATTTCGAGTTCATCTTAAAAATACCACCCTCTAATAACAACAGCATTTTCAACAATTAATAAGAATTTTCAATCGGTGGTCGAAGAATTATCGATCGAATTCTCCAGCTCACCGAAGCCGTATTTACAGACACTCGTGTTACATTTTTGAACCGGATGGCCTAAAGCTCTCATTCACTTCCGGTGTCGGTCATAGGCACGCATGAAACGATTTCGCTAAGAGAAATATCAGATTTTGTATGCTTGCGTTCAAATGAACTTCCGGTATCGCAGTGTTCGATCATTAAATTTCCAATTAATTTTTGGATCCACTAAATTACACGCTAACGGAATACGAGTAGTTGGCGAAACAGAAAGAAAATACGAAAAACATCACCACCACGTGCTTGTTTCCGGTACCGGGCGCGAGGACGAAGATTACTCAACTTCCGCTCGAGGAAAACAACGATCGATCGACGGGCGAGGATCGCTTAATTCTCGAACGTGCTTTACAGCGGCTTCGTTCGTGGCTCGTGCCTTAGAAACTCTCGATTAAAAGCAGTACTTCCGCGTGCTCACTTCCGGTACCGGGCTCAAGGACGGGGGTCGTCCCTCGCGCGGGACACCCCCCTCCTCCTGTCAGCCGTAATAATAGCTTTTCGTGTTCAGGCTCCGTGGGTTTTCTGGGCGCAAAATCGTGTGTAGGCTGTCGGTGCCCACCATATGGTTACCCAGATCCACCCTGACGCCTGTTTTACCAGGGTGGTGACCTGGTGCGGGGTGAATCGTCGTGGGTGACATGGGTATCCTCGTGTCCGCGTAATAACGATCGCCGTGAAGTCTCTCTGCTAGTTGGGTTTCTGGGATTCTGAAAATCAAATTTTCATTCCTTTCACCATTTGCCATTCTAACAATTTCAAATATTATAATTCATTTTATATAAAAATATGTGAAATACTAACCTGGTGTCTTGCATGGGAACTGGCATAGCGGTCGTAAGATCAATATCCGCATCGATCTCTGAAATGTCATCGGTGAATCCATTAGGAAGCGGTTCGTTATTCGCGTGAAATTTTGCATCTCTCTTCGCGCGATGACGGCTGACAAGAAGTCGTCCAATTACCAATCCCAGAAAGATTAGAATGCCAGCTGTGACCGACACTATGATGTAGAGGTAGAATTTCTCCTGATTCTCTGTATCAAGGGAATTGTACAATATTTAACACAATTATCCAAAGAACTTTGCTGTACATTAGCATACAGTATAAAGTTGGGTACTCTAAATCAAAGATACTAAATCGCATGCAAAATCGCTAGAAACTTGTTCTACTAAAGAAATGCAATGCCACACACAAGTGCTCAATCCTTTCAACTGCAAACCTTGAAGCAATTGAATCATTTCGTGTTATATACTTTTCATTTTTCAATATTTCATCTCTTCAGTTTCTTTTATACAAAACGAAACTCAAGCTCATACATTTTCCAAATAGCAAATCACATTGAATATAAAAATTAATGAAATACTATTTTCGCAATTTTCCTTTACATACATCATCGACATGTATTAAATAAACAAATCACATTGACAACCAGAGAAATGAAGGGTTTCTAATTGATCCAGGCCAGATATGGTTACCGATCACAGATAATATCCCGTCTGCTAGTAATTTTCTCGCAATCAATACGAGTGGAATTTTTCTTTACCGACCTGTGTAAACGCGAAACTCTTCAGCATCGATTAAAAAATCAGCTGAAGGGATCAGTGTTGAACTTACCGGGGAAACGAGAAGAGAATGGTGTACTTACTCGATATGAATGAATAGGCATTGATCCATTCATTGATATATCCGACAACGACACGATCCTCTCCAGGAACGGCGTAGACAACCGTGGTGCAATTAATCGGTGACACGGTACTGCTGGGTACGTCTCTAGCGCTACTGTCCACGTTGTTGTCGAACATTATCGTCCCTTGATTAATCGTGGGTGATAAGGGCGAGTCTTTCGCTCCTACACCGAGTGTCTTAAACTTGTTCGATCGTGTGTCCACTGTGTATACGCGAGAAATAAATGAATAGTGGATGCTGATCAAAAAGAGGTGATCGTAACTTGACGAAAATGCAGTGATGGGACTGGTATCATTGTATTAAATAATCATTATTAATCAATCAGCGACCATCCCTGTTATTTACAAGAAGCGAAGAATCAGCTGATCGTTTTACACATAACAGAAATGAACTGAAGAAAGACAGGTGAAACGTGTATCTCGATAATAATTGGTATTTACACTCCAATCGAATCCAATGAAAGTAAAATGTATTTTACATATAGCTGCAGATTATTATGTACAAATAATTGGAAACAAAATGATCCTCCACCAAAATTACGAACGTGTGTCGTTGTTATGTAGTTGCAATTAATTATAGATATTAAATGAGTATTGTGTAAGTGATAGAACAGTCGCAGAAAATGTGATACTCGAGGAAAATATTGAAACAAGGTACGTGACGAATTTTGTTACAAATTGGAAGCTGTGCTCGCTGAAATTGCAGCTATTTGTGACAGAAGGTAATTAGGGTAATTTTATGGTGTGTATACCCCACTGAAATTTAAATGAAGCATGTACAACGAGTAGTTTCTGAGGGTAATTCACTGTGCTTGCTAGATTTCAAGCTGAAGCATTATATACATATACGTACATACATCCGTGCAATTGGCACGGCTTGTGCTTTTAGTTTCTCTTCAGAATAAAAGAAAGGTCGTCAGATCATGGAAGTTGAATTTCCCGTATAATGTAGTCTACGCTTCTAAAATTAAAATTTTCTCCGAGTTCCGACGAATATTCAACAATTTTCTGCTTCTCAAAATACCAGCGAAATACAGTCTGAATTTCAATGTTCACAAATAACATACTTCTGTGATCAACAATTTGCATTGCAAAATTAAAGTTCTTCCATTTTTTTTTCCTCGTTGTTACTATCCACCATAAAGAAAGCTATTTTCACGTTGAATCGTCGTGAAAAAAAAATATGTTTGAACCTTCAAACGATTCATCCTGTGAGACATTAAACGCAATTTCAAGCAACATCGTTCAACGAGGCAACAGCGTGTAAAATACAAAGGGCCACCCTCTTCATCGACCAACTTAAAATAATGGTGAATGCGAGGGAGAAACGGGCCGATAACCCGTCCGGCGTGTCGTTCACCCCTGTTTTTTACAGATCGACGGATCCGCAAAGAAGACACCGATACTCTACGGTTTCGATAGCTTTACAGACCTCGGACAAGCGATGGGGGACAGATATTTTTCAAGGAAAACTCCTCTCGTGCTGCATGCCAATGCGAATGGAAATTCAAGGTTCGCGTGTATCATACATCAGCACGCCGTGGCGGAGCTTTGTCACAACGTGCCGCAGGAATACGTGAACAACGCGCCCGGTATAATCGGTATGTATTGTGTCACGTAAGATCGAACTTCCATGAAAATGTCCTGTCCCCGTGGCGGACGAACAATTTCAGGATTTGAGAGAATTTCATGGGTTATTCGAGATACGACAAGAATGTTGACGTTTCAGAAATTGTGATGCTGAGACTTGATGAGATGATAAAGCACAAGTCTATGTTTGTTGAGAAGAAAATGTAATAAGAAAAATGCAGAATGCAATTTTAGTCTGGTTTACTGGATCGAAATTGATCTTAAACGTTCACTATTTAGACGAGTATAAATAGCAGTAGGTAAACTTACAATCTTCACAAGGATGATTCTGTTCTTCCTGTTTATTTCGTTCAAAGAACTGAGCTACTTTGTTCCGATTCTATAGAGGAATACTCCAAAGACACTGATTTACATAAACTAAACCAAGCCAACGCTGCGATGCATTTTTGCTGATGCGATTGCATTCCCACGAGAATCAGCAAATTACCTACTGTGAAATTCCGAATCATCATCGAGTTCTTTATTTAATGTATCATCGAAAACACAATATTTTTAAACATTATTATAGTATTAATTTTGGAAATGGGTTTGGTGTAATTTATTCTGCATAATTACCTCAAATTTGTCTGAAAGTTTTGTTCCGATTAAGAATCAGCAAAACGAAAAGCAATTTAATCACAATCAACATTAACTTTGTAAAAGTTACCGGGGATGTTTCATTTGGACTTCTGACAAGAGCAGAGAAAACTTTGTTACAAGAGATTACTAAGATAAATAAAATCTAATGAAGTTAACAAAGCCACGGGGTTTTACATTATTTACATTGGATTTTAAACAGTTCAAGTAAAAGCTTCACGGAGAACTGTATTTGTGTGCAATCGAACGGTGCCTTGGAGTTTCTAGCTTCCCAATTAGCAACTTTGGAACATTTGCAATTAATGAACATCGTTTTACCGTGGATAGAATTCTGGTTTCGAGTGTGTTCATTTGAAAGTCTGCAAATGATCCACTAATTTCGTATGGAAAATCAAATGAAATATTTAAAATATATGGAGCAAAGTGATACGTTTAATTATTTCGCCGGGGAAGATACATATTTGCATAATTCACAGAAGTTTAATTATTGGTACTGATTAAGTTAATAAATTATAGATTTCCATAATGATGATATAATATTTATTTCTTCGTTTAAACAAGAATTCATTTATCTCCACAAGCTGATAGATAGAAAAACCAGAACAATTACTAACACACATGCATCTGTTCATGCAAACGATTAAACAAATAGGATATTTAGCAAAATTAACGGACTGAATGTAATAAAAGATAAATATAATATATTGCATCGTTACTGGTACATATTGCAATATTTCAACATGACTTATTTGATATTTCTTTGCTATCAAGATACATTTTTGCATATTATTCATATGCACATATGAAATAATATATTTTACAAAATTTCGTAGACGATAATACAACACTCTGCTTATCATTTCAAAATTTTATACGATGGTTTAACACCTCTTTGTTTAAAATTTTGCTGAATATCCAGAAGATAATAATCGCGCTTTACATTGCATGCAATTAATTAGTTCTATTTATCTGCACTGACACAGGAATTTAAAAAGTCACGATTGAATTTAGGACATAATACTCTGTATTTCATTGAATAGCCTGTGCTTTCGGACATCAAATTTTCCAAAAGTGATTTCTATAGATCTAATCAGGATTCGATTGAGTTCATAGTGTTCCTTTGTATTGATAGTGAATTGCTTGCCGATAGACCCATCTGTGACGGAACAATTGTCAGAGCAACAGCATACTAATACAAATGGTTTCGATATCCCTACGTTTCGAACGCTATTAATGCGAATCAATTGAGCAACAGTCTATTAGTTCGATAGAATGATTTTCCTTAGTGTGGCGATCATCCGTAGGGAATTTCTCGTATTCATCTGGGAAATCAAATTCATGCTATGAAATTCTGGGTATTTGGAATTATTCACTTGGTGCAACCAAAATGGCTCGTTTCAATTCTAAAACACTAATCAATTTTATTTTACTTTACTCTGATCAAATATTTCATCGAATAAATCATAGGATATTATACAACAATGTAATCCCTTGAAGCCGGATATTCAGAATATCTCTGAGATTCCATGAAATTAATCGGCAGCACGTTGCATTTGACCCAGGTTGTTTTACGATTGGACATAGTGTTGTTTTATTACCAATAATCGTGTCAGGCGTCGGGCGAACAAGAGCCGTTTCATTAGCAGATTTATTGACTCGTCGCTTGTTCGCCATTGAAATTTATGGATTCCGTTTAATTGTTCACCGATCGTTGGCGTCTTTCCGAAAATTAAACTGCATATCCTGTTGACGGAATATTAATTTTATGAAATTCTAGAAACAACGGATATCGTGGAATTTAAACATTTTTCCCCGAATTGTTATTTGAAAGAGAAGTTCAAAAAATGTGGAGTATTCATGTTAAATTCCCCCGAGTTTAAATTGGGAAACAAATTTTTCTACAAAATATGAAATTATTGTGTGAATCCTTGGTAAGCTTGGCAACTGTTTATTGAATTTTTACGACTCGATGTTTCATTTTTATAAAATAATTTTTATTCGAAGCAACGAGAAATTAAAACAGAAAAATAATTGCAATAAAATTTCAATTCAAATCAATTCTATTTTTAGTCAACGAGCATCTCTTTTTCACATTTTTTTAATTATTTCAATTTTCATTGTAATTGAGATCTTTTAATGGAGGATTTCATATCCTGACGCGAAACGATAATTTTAATTACATTTTTATTTTAGAAGATTTTTATCAATTTTCTGTGGAGATTTGGAAATGTGCAGTGAGGGAAACGCTGCTATGCAATGTTAGCTTGATTTAGTGTCCGCATGATGATGGGACAGACAGTGAATTAATGTGTGGAAATTTGGTAGCTGACGGCTGTCTGATCGAAATTAGATTACGCCTACATCATATTAGTATACTCTCATTACTAACGTCAAATTGGTTATCGATAGTTCAATCTTCGATGTAACGTTGATGCTAGTCTTGATTGCGTGTAGCCTCATTACAGTTGGGGACAATTAACAGTGACCAATAACAGAGGTCTAAGGCAATCCAAAACAGATTGCTGCATACTAATTTCATCACATAAAAGTACCTCCAAAGTGTTGAAAAAATTTCATGAAATAATTTATGGTGATGAATATTATGGATGGAAAGTATGATAACAGGCAGTTTGTTCCTAGTGAAAATTCGACCGTGTTTCCAGGCGATGTCGTAAAGTTTGTTCACGATCACAGGCTCTAGGTACAAGGATGCAGAAATTCTCGCCTGAAGGGATCGAAAGTTTGCGCAACTGCATCAGCCATCTCGGTAGACATTGACACTACGACAGCTGTTCGATAATTGCTTCTTCATCGATCTAGTTTGACTTGCACCAGGCTAAACACGAAATACAGAGGGTGATTCTCCTGCTTTGATACTCGACTTTGTGGAGCATGATCAATTAAATTAATTTTCACCTATGATCACTGCTGATGATCGATCGTTCCTCTTAGAGAATTTATTTCTTATCTTATTGAT